CATAACAAAAATATTCTTTAAATAATTTGACTATAACAAAAATATTCTGAAAATAATTTGATTTCAGTACGAATATTTTAAAAATAAATTGATCTTAATACAAATAGTAAAAATAAATTGTTAATTGATCTTAAATTGATTGATTGATCTTAATAAATTAAGATTAATATATTATTAATAATTTAATCGATCATAATAAATTGATCTTAAAAATATATTTGAAAATAATGTAACTGTTCATTACAATGCAATATTTTCCGAATGAAATGTAATGTAAAAATTACTTTAAAAAATGCCGCAATGCCGTCATTCGAGTGTAAACGGTCAACCATTGTTCCACTCTATTTTGGAGTGATGGTTCATACCCAGTATGACAAGCATAATAGCGATGAAACCTTGATTTCGCTGCCAGTAAGATGGTTGAACACCGCTACCAAGCAATACGGAAAACCCTGAAGCGCTTGCAGCCACTGGTTCGTGTTATGATTTCGATTTACGTCTAGCATAGCAAGCAGTCGGTGTCCTAAACCCAAAAGAAAAAACGACCATGCGACGAGAACAGAGCACGCTCTCGTCTATTAATAGATAATCTCTTCCAGATCCAACCGCGATGGAAAAAGTGTTCGGAAGAAGCCCGCGAGGATCGGAAAAAAAACCGACTGACCACGTGCAGCCGTACACGTGACGTCGTGGGAAAAGCCGAGATATGATTAAACAAAAAAGAAATGTGGTTTAAAAGAGAGACCGAGAATGACGACAGCGCCGTAACCCGTCATCGCGACCCAAATCTCCAGACTAAATCTGATCATCCCTTCTTTCGCTCCGACAACTACATCGCGCGTCGTCGGTTGACTTTTTTTAACGCTACAGTGATACGTTAGAACTTGTACTTTACAATATAATACATTTTATTTGATGCATAAATGATAATCGATGACCGAATAAAATCGAATTAAATGATAACTGGATGAAATGTTAGTAAATGATATTTGAAGAAAATGTTATTAAGTGATATTTGAAGAAAATATTGCTAAATCATGTTTGAAGAAAATGTTGTTAAATGATATTCGAAGAAAACGTTGCTAAATGATATTCGAGGAAAATGTTGCTAGATGGTATTTCGCTAAAATGTTACTGCATGATATTTGAAAAAAATATTGTTAAATCATGTTTGAAGAAAATGTTGTTAAATGATATTCGAAGAAAATGTTGCTAAATGATATTCGAAGAAAATGTTACTAGATGGTATTTCGCTAAAATGTTACTGCATGATATTTGAAGAAAATGTTACTAGATGATATTTGAGGAAAATGTTACTAGATGATATTTGAAGAAAATGTTACTAAATGGTATTTGAAGAAAATGTTACCGAATGACATTTGAATAAAACGTTACTATGAGAAACGTTAAATGAGAGTTATTTAAAGTTATTTAATTAGTTCATGCTCTGAACAACATACGATTAATACGCACAATAACATTTCACTGAAGAACATAAGTAATCTATATGACTTTTTAAATTTCAATAGAGAAACTCACCCTGTATCGCGAACGAACACCGCATCAATGAGGTCCTTGATGTCACTGGTTTCTCGATAAATCTAAAACAAAAAGTGAAGATCATATATCTAAACCTACATTCAAGATTTATTAATGTAATAAATGTTTAGTCCATACGTAGTTCAAACCAGAAC